AGTGGGTTTGTATTTTTTTAATATATTGAGTTCCTCTCCCTGCGCTCATCGCCTCAATCTATGCAGTGGTTCGTGGTGTGCTCAGAGGGCTGGCTCAGCCCGAGCTCTTCTTTTTATATGTAACCAAGTTTTTTAGCGTTAAGTTTTTGACAATCAGTGATTACTGCCCCTCTCCCCCTGCTCTTTGACATAATTAGCAACTCGCCTTGTGAGCCATACGAGGTCTCGGGGGAGGGCAGGGAGGCTCCGAGGGCCTCGCACCAGTCAGCGAGGCCCCCAGAGAACTGGAGCTGCTGGGGAGCGAGGGGACCCCAGCGCGGGGCCAAGGGGATGGTGCTGCCCCCCCCGAAGTGCCTTAGCCCCGCAGCTCTGCCTGCTCCGGGTGGGCGCAGGCCAAGGGCAGGGGAGCGTTTACATGGTCCCAGGGTGCGTGGCTCAGGGGTGCCTGCTCTGCCTCTTGTGTAACCAGTTTTTGTCTTATTTTGGATATTTTCTAATAAAACCAGTTAGCAGCAGCTCTGTGTGTGTGTGCTGGAGTCCTGCAGCCCCTCTCTCTCTCCCCAAATCAGCGCAGAGGCGTGGCCACGGCAGCACTTTATTGGAGACAACGCGGCCCGAGGAGCAGCCCCAGCCTCACCGTTACTTCCACAGCTTCTTGATGGACATGTTCTTCTCGCTGTCCTTCTGCATCACCTGGGTGGGGAGGAAGAGACAGTTGGGTCCGAGCCTGCGCCCCCAATTTGGGTGCCAACAACCCCCAAAACCACCCCCAGCACCAAGACTCAGCCCTGCGCGGGGGAGGCACTGCAGCCTCCAGCTCCTGCCAGGCTCTGCCCCCGTCCCCAGCCTCTTCCGTGTCACTCACAGCTTCAGAGCTTGGTGACAACACTGTTAACAGTGTTCTTTGTCCCCAGAGCTGAGCCTCTTCTAGCTTGGCAGCTCCCAGCAGATGCTGCCCAGGGCAGTTTGTGCCCCACTGACAGCTCCTCGTTCGGGGAGGAACCCACCGGCTGCCCCCCATCGCCGCCCCCCCCGTGCTTACCTTGGCGACAGCCATTTCGAAGTCCTCTTGCGTGACGTGCACCCTCCTCTCCCTCAGCGCGTACATGCCAGCCTCGGTGCAGACCCCCTGCAAGGGACAGGGACGTCACCCACTGCTCCCCCAGGGCCAGCCCCCCTGCCGCCACCGGGCCCGGCTCACCTTCACCTCCGCGCCCGAGGCCCCCGGCATCAGCTCCGCGATCTTCCGCAGGTTGATGCCCCGCGTCAGGTTCATTTTCCGGGAGTGGATCTTGAGGATGTCCAGGCGGGCCTGGAGGAGAGCGGCAGCGAGGGCTGGAGCTGCAGGAATTGCTCCCAGAGAGGGCCAGGGAGAACACGGTGGCCCCAGGGAGAGGATGAGGACAGGAGGGGATGGAGGGGGAGCCCCCCACCTACCTCCTCGTTGGGAGGGGGGAACTCGATCTTCCTGTCAATGCGGCCAGGGCGCAGCAGAGCCGAGTCCAGGATGTCGATGCGGTTCGTGGCCATGATCACCTGCACAGGGAGAAAAATGGTCACCTCGCTGGGCACCCCGCTGCCACCGGGCAGGACACGACCCCAACCCCAGGCAGGGACAACACCCTTCTACCTTGATGTTCTTGGTGGCCTCAAAGCCGTCAAGCTGGTTGAGGAGCTCCAGCATCGTGCGCTGGACCTCGCTGTCCCCACCCGAGCCCCCCTCCAGGCGGGAGGAGCCGATGGAGTCGATCTCATCCATGAAGATGATGGAGGGCGCGTGTTCCCGGGCCATCACAAACAGCTCCCGCACCATGCGGGCGCCTGCGGGGAGCAGGGAGGGCTGAGCCCTGGCACCACGCACAGCTCAGCTGTGCCGCAGCACGTCTGTCTATCCCGAGGCCGCCTCGGACGGCGAGAGCCCTCGCTGGGGCTCCGGCACAAGCAGCTTCCTCCCCCCACGCCGTTTTACCTTCGCCGATGAACTTCTGCACCAGCTCGGAGCCTGAGACGCGGATGAAGGTGCAGTCAGTGTGGTGGGCCACAGCCCTGGCCAGCAAGGTCTTGCCTGTGCCTGGGGGGCCGTAGAGCAGCACACCCTGCAACGGCCACGGGGAAACCTCAGCACCCTGCCCACGCCCACCCAGGCAGCCTGAACCCAACAAG